GATGTTGCCAGAAAGATTGATAATTACCGGCTACCAGTTTGAAATTATGCATCAAACATGCCAAATATTTAAACAGCGAAGCGTTGCATCAGGTAGCGTCGGGTACCAATCACTAACCTTGGAAAGCTTGCACAAGTGAATAGAATATATATACAATCAAACGAAATGCAACCACTTAACAGGAGTGCAAACACCATGAATGGGCGTGGATTAGCCCGTGCCAGACGATTTGTGAGAGCATAGATCAGTAACTTCGTGTAATTCTTATCTCGACGTGAATCCTGCCACCAGTTTTCCAAAATTCATGACCGATAAACACCCGAGGATTTAGGTTTGAGTTATGATTGCCAGGTCACTGTTTGTTACTATGATTGCAAATTGTATATGCAAGTCAAGATCTTGGACGCAGAACCAGCGCTGACGTCAAAGCAATGGGGTCATCGTTTTACACTAAAATGATCGTGGTAGTGTTTGTTTTAGGGACCTGTCTGTTTTATGGGCGTGTCTAGTGTGGAGCATGTACGGTGTGCGGGCGTGTCCGTTAAAGACGAGAGTGTTCGTTGAAGAAGAGAGTGTCCGTTGAAGAAGAGAGTGTCCGTTGAAGACGAGATTGTCCGTTGAAGATGAGAGGGTCCGTTGAAGACGAGAGTGTCTGTTGCAGGAGGTGTCGGGGTTTTACTGTAAATTTGTATTTTTCACATGCATGCATTTCTTTTCAAACAAACAGTAAATCCTCAACAAGCACCACATTCCCTTAGCAAAAACCCGCCCAATGTCACTCAGTCGTCAAAAATCTGATAAAATTTTATTGACCGTATCTAAAACATTTTTATGTTTTGTGTTTCTTTGTAATATTAACAAAGCAAGCGATGTTTTTAGAAATTCTTCACATTACAGTTGGCTGTTGTAGTTGAAATTACTGGCTATGAGTTATGTTGAGTTCACAGCAGCTTTGAAATCGCGTGGGTCACGTTCGCGCAGGTTTCTGTTGGTGGTTGCACGCCAGAAGATAAGAAAGACGCATTCGTTGTGATTATGGGTCGGGGATGGCCAAAGGAAGGAAAATGGTCGGCTTTCGAATACCTGAAATTATTTTATAGCGCAAAATCATGCAATATACGTTGTTCAATTTAAGTGCTTAGTAGTCATTGCAGTTGGGATTTGCTTTAGCGATGCAAGAAAAGGAGCATGAATGAAGCAGCTACCAAATTTGCACTCAAGGAGTAGAAAAAAATATCGATCTTTCCTCTCTCTTTTTAATCCCTCTTTTCTTTCCCTTGTTGGGACTTATCTATAGGTACCGTAGCCTTTCCCTAACATTAACAGCTAAAAAAAGACACAGACTGAAAGATACCATTTTGTCACTTGTATCAATGTAGAAGATGTGCACCCTTCAACAACTTGCATTTTTTGTTAGAGAAATGTCAAATATAAACATGCTAGCTTCTTTCAATCAAAAGGTTCTCATTTGCACCTCATTTTCATTGTGATATCTCATTATGATACGTTTGCAGAAACAGACGTATGCGGAATGGCTGCTTTGTGGAAGGGGTAGCGTAATTTTAAGTCACAACTTGACTATGTCCCTAGGAAATTAAAAGGATTATTTTACAGATAGGATGGGGGACAGTGAATACTTCATATAGCCAGTTGATAAACAAAATATCGCACGCACACTTAATTCAACGTGGGTCTGGTACCGACGTAACCTGTTACGTCATCAACTGAGTCTTTATTCGAGAAAATTCCGTGAGCTTGATTATCAGAATTTTTGCAGCAATGTCTTTAAAGGCAGGTGTTACAGGTAGCTTGTTTGGATATCCCAATGAAGATTTAGACCTGGCTCTTGTTTTTGTCTGATCGCAGAGTAACAATTCAAGGAAATCTAATTGTTATGTACGCCTAAGCTTGAAATGGACCAAAATTTGCTTAGCATTCGCCAAATTGCTTCGTCTCCACCTTAATTCCTGGTTGTTTTTCATTTCGCATGTTATGATAATACTATTTGAAAACCTTCCAGACAAAGAATTTGTTTACAAGCATTTAGGTTAGAAAATTTTGTATTCAGATTTGGTAACTGCCCTTTTAAGCTGGTTGTGAACCTAAAGATTTCGCTAAATGGGATTTGATCTTTTTAGGAAAGGTTTTTTCAAGAAATTAATTTAGCAGCTTTAGACGCCGAATCTTGATGGTGGACAACACTTGTTTTACGTAATTTAGTTACTGAGTGCTAAGAATTAAACATTATGGTTGTTATTGGTGTTTCTGGTCGATTCTTTCAATTGAACAGAAAAGTCTATAAACTTCCTAGGGGGTTTGGATTAAGCCGGAATTATACGCCCCTTTGGAATTTGTGATAAAGGCATTCCTAACCAAGTTAAGAAGGATAATTACTTTGTAAGAGATGCTTATCTGATTTTATAGCAAGGTAATGCTGCCATCGTAGCTGGATACGCGAATGCGATACAAAGCTGCAATGCTTTTAGAATGATCGAATGATAGTGATCACATGCATTGATAAGCGATCGGTTTCAAGGAAATGCTACCCTAACCACGTTCTAGGCACGTGCATGCACAGATAACATCAATCATCTGCTGCTGGCTACTTTACAGAGTTGCCTGCTCTAGCTGCAAAAGTTTTCACGATAAGAAATACTACGAAAGTTAATAAATGTGACGTTAAAATAAATCAAGTCATTTTGTGGCCTCGTTTTGGAAATCATAGCTATATTGTACAACTTTTTTAGCCGAGATTACGATTGACCGCCATACTTCCATTCTGGATATAATTTTCCTATTGTTTTTGCCTGTTGCTACGTATTGTTTCTTATAGAAACGCTTGAATTGTTTCTTCTAGAATCGTGGATTCAAATTCCTAAAAGGATTCTTAACTTTATCGATATTTTGCGCAGTAAGCACAATGAAAACTTTTGCGTAAAATTCTGTTCCAGAATCAGGCCAAAGTCCAAATTTCAACTCAAAAAAGTGTCTCAAGACGAAGCAATAAATTGAATTTGTGTATTTCCAGTTCATAGCAAAGAATTTGTGAAACCTAGTCTTTTGTTTTACCCTAATTTGGGACAGTTAATTTTTCTAAACAGCACTCTTCCTATCAGATGTTTGAACGACTTTAAGCATGAATTGTAAACACTAAATTTGTCAGTCATCCAAATTGTGATCAACAAAGTGTTTTATGTAGAGGTGTTATTTGGAAAATTCTTTTAGTGGCAAGTAATTGTTGGGGTTGATATAAGTTTGTGTAAAGTCTTTGATAGATTAAAAAAGCTTTACAATTGGAAAAAAGCAGCCGGCGTATCTTCTCCTTTCATTTTTCAATGTTGGTAGTCTCCTAAAGTTTTTGTCTCCATTCCAAGCTAGTTGTCAAGTCGCCAATCAATATTTGAATGACTTTCTTATGTGAGCCCTCCGCCGTTTAGTTTTCCTTCACTTTCAATCGATTTATTCTCGATTTGACGTTAAGTAGAATGGTTTTTCAGCGCTACTAATATTAGCCAGGATGTAGGAGCCGATTGTCGGGCCTATCTAATATATCTATGAAAAATTATAATAAATTCTGATTTATTAGAGTATAAAAAGGGAAGCTTCTAATTATCTAAACTTCAAAGGACCAATAAATCTTGTTGCCAAATGCTATTCTTGATTGCCTCACCTTACCGATGCCGCTAATTGCTCAAAGTTTTGGCAGTTGGGCAGGAAGGCTTGATTTCTTGTAATCCTGTCTTGGAGTCAGATGAATATCATGGTTTACAATTAAATATGCGCGAAAAATTAAGCACCTATAACGGTATTCTCTGCTTGAAACTTTGGTGGATATTTCTTAGATATTTTTATTTGTGGCTTTCAGGAGATGTTAGGAATCAGAATTATATGAAGATAAAATGAATTGATGAAGGGCTTTGCAGTTACTTGACGACTAATAGGGAATGGCTTTGAAATACTTATTTTGGCAGAATTGTCGGTTTTTTCTAGCTGATGTATGGAAACTGACTATGTCTATAATTATAAAGCAAAGGGTGATGTTTTAGGAACAGTCTCTTTGTTTAAAAAGTGTATTTGCAGTCGTGAAGGTTCAAGATTGTAGCAAGAACATTTAATTTTTCGTGTTGGCATGTGGCAGGCCTTCCTCTTCTACTTTTCAGGTCAAAATATCGGATTTATTAGAAATAAAGTTTCTTAATCACATCGAATTGGGGGATGGGGCGAGGTAGTTGCTCAAAAAACCTTCCCATGATGTCTTAGAATGTATGGATGTCCACGTATACAAAATGCCTACCATTTTTCTTTGGAATATCGATTGAGCTGCTAATGAATTTTCAAAATAATTAAAAAATGACGCCGTCTCATATATCATGCGGTTTTACGGGTATTTCTAATTAAAATAAAAATGTCTCTTTATTGATACATTAAAAGCAACCATTCCTCAACAATTGGCAACCAGTGCTTCCTTCATTAGATGGTAATTGTTTACAGAAACTAATTACGTCAGATGCATTTAATTACAGATTTTATGCCGGCGGAAACACTAGTTAATTAAAAATATTGATTCATCTTCTTAATGAACGGTGTTATTTCATCCAATGTAGATATAAGATATGATATCTGCGTTCCATGTCTTTGATGGCGACAATGTCTATTACACGTAACTTCAATTCAAGTAAATTCACCGATTTAGGATGTCCCGATTTGATAAAATGAAACAATTACACAACAATTAATTTAGAAGATTTCTTTATCATACATCTAAAATTCTTGTTCAATACTTCACACGGTAATGAATTTCTGACCGCATTGACGCTAATAAAGTTTTATTCAACTTAAGTCAACCTAGAAATTTCTACCTTTTTCGTAGTCTGATGGCCTAAATCTTGTCAACACAGAAAGCAATTTTCATCATATTCTTGTTTAAAGCAGATTTTTTGTATAATTTACACTTCTTATTTGTTCATTAATAATATCGATTATGCTATTTTCTTTCATAGAATATCGACATACAATATACGGTTTACACGGGACTTTATCTTCACCAAACTACCCTCGTCACTACCCGTTAAATACAACAGTTATCTGGTTGATTGCCGTAGAAAGATCAAGGACGATTGAGTTAAATTTTACAGACTTTCATCTGGAGAAAAATAAGAAATGCATTTATGACCATGTGTATATTGAAGAGACTCAAATGGGTGCTGGTTCTATAACGAAAAGATACTGTGGACATACGAAGCCACCTAATTATAAATCGCTATCAAATCAGATCAAGCTGGTATTCCAATCTGATCCATTGAGTAATGTTGATATTGGGTTCAAAGCCACTTGGAGAGAAACTGGTCGATCCATTATTGACCAAGGTGAGATTTTTTCTTAATGATTTCTTACTAGAAGTAAGCAGTAGAAATAAGGAATTCAGCGCAAAGATTTCCCTCCATATATTTCAAGATTTTTATATGTTTAATCCTATCCTGCCTGTAAAATTAGTTACCATAAAATAGTTATTGTGATAGACGCTGCTATAATGAAGCATTTTCCTTTGGTTTATTTAGATTTTGAATCTAAAAAACAACTTTCCTTTGATTGATAGCAGTTTGGAACCTAGTTTTATGGTCGATATAGACTTTTCATTCCCTGTCATCAGCCAAAATGTCTTCATTTGGATCACATCTAGAAAAAAAACAACAAAGAAAAGCTCCCGATTTTCGCTCGTTAGCGCATGACGAAAATTTCAAACATTTAAAAATGGGCTTCTCTCCTGTGATTTTTAAAATAGAAAAAGTATGGGTTGATGTATCACTAACGATAGTTGAGGATGCATCAGGATGTGATTTTGTAGTAAGTGAGGTGTGGTAATTATTTGAACAGGGTGCTCCCAGTTTAAATTCACAGGGAGCCACTATATTTCCCGTCGTTCTTTTATCCACCAAACTTTACCAATCTTGTTTGTATCTGATTAACCCACGACGTCACTACGTAATATCCTTATGCTGGATCGGTCCTTTTGCCGCAAAAAAATTTATGCCTTGATTTGTGTAAAAGTGCGAAAAAAAGAAGGCATTGTGTAGGCCATATTTCAGTTTAATATTTGCCTGCGAAAAAAAAACATGGGTTTCTTTCTGCCTAATCGATATGAAACAAGTCTACGAATGCATTCTGCGATGTCTGCTTTTATAGAATTATCCAAATTAACTGCTTTGTAATGCAAAAACCGCACAGGTAATTATAATATCCGTTATGCTGGATATGAAATGGGATTTCTATTACTGTTAGTTGTATTTCAAATCCTCTGATTTGAAATACAGCCGTCTCAAGGCAGTTGGATAGGGATTTGTTGACATTGCAAGATTTTCTCATTCAACTTTCATAATATCAATAAATTGTTCATATTTCTTTTCGTGAAATTCACCCGTAGGTATCAATGCGGGTCTTTGAACCACTTTTGTAGAAATTGATATGTAATTTATCTGTACATATCAAGCTCTTTTTATTTATTTCCTGAATGGCGAGCTACATTCTCTCCTATAAGAATTCAGTCATGTAAATGCCAATAAAAGGACAGGGACATTAAGTTGGATATAGCCTATAGTAGGTCCCATGAATAAACCCTTATGTTCATGACAAACCTATGTAAACCCTAATTCTTTCAATGATGGACAGTTTTTTCCCGGCCACGTTGAGCTGGGGGAAACTGTAAAAATTTCAAACTGCAAAGTCTTGTTCCAAATAATGAAGGAAAAAGGGGAATTTGATCTCAGGAAAACACTCTTTCGAAACATCGAAGATAGGGTACTGAGAGCAAAACAAAAACGAAGTCCCGGCACACTAAAAACTACTAAACCTGCAAAGATTGTGGCTTTGGATGATGACCAAACATTGAAAACTTTTATGTTCAGATGATATTAACCCTTTATAAACTTATCTTTTTTATTCCAGGTGTGATTCCTTCACAGCCAATTAATCCAAGCAAGTCTTGCATTCCAACTACTGTTACGTTGGTAGAGCCTTGCCATCAGCCGGCTCCGCTGCCGGTAACTGTAACAGTAACCGCAAAGCCTACAACGTGCATTTGCGGAACGAAAACAACGACACAAACAATCACTATAACGAAAACGAAGACTTTGCAAACGCAAGCCATCAAAGCAACGAAATCTTTGCATTCGAGTTACGTAGTCAAATCGTCAGCAGATGTTAATAATAAAGATGGCGGCAAAAAATCAAATGATAATAGGTCAAATAAAGTCGAAGATACTGAAGAATGCAAGCCTTCGTCTACTTCATCGCTGATAGACGCAGAAAAAGGTAACGGAAGATTCTTCATTTACTTTTTCCTTGTGATTACTATCTCTAAATTTCAAACCTTGCACCAATTTTTACCGTCTTCCTGTTATCACGTGCCTTTTAAAATGTAATGGCAAGTGGCGGAAACTTTTGAAACAATCAAGCTTTTGATTGGTGAGGCAAGCGCAGAGAACTTTACAAGTTTTTTTGTTAAAACGGCCTTTCCTTTTACTTCATGTACATAAAGACGATTTTTGATGTTTTTTCCGAGTCAATTTTTATTGGGAGGTATATTTTCCATCCGAAACCCTACTCCTAACCTCATTCTTCGTATTTGCTCCACCATAATTTTGTAAATTACAAATTATAACATTTAATCAACTGAAAACGCATAAATTACGTTTTTACAGCGATTCTAGAGTCTTTACTTCCCTTGACAACCACTGCAATACCTTTGCTAGCCACGTTTACCTATTTCGCATTGGAATAGGCATTATATATACAACTTTCCTTTTACATAACTTATGTTAATTTCTCTAGAGCATTTGCTCTATATGCTGCAAAACTAACTGTCGTATTTACTTCAATTACAGTGGCAGCAGAAAGAGACAGTTCGAAAAGCTTGGTTGTTTCGCTTGGAGTTGTTTTAGCTGCACTTTTCATAACAAATGTATTTCTTCTGGTGTTATTATGCAAAAGAGAGCGAGGGTAAGTGGTTCTCGAGTTACTGATATTCAAATGCGTTTCGTTATATTAGAATTTGATACCTTTCAAGCACTGAAATTTCTCAATGGTGTTAAAATTATTGCACGAAATTTGAAAAAGCCATGATTTTTGAGAAAGCTGCTACTATAAGCCGTGGTATTCTTCCAACATTTCTGGTTTTTTCTTTCAGTTTTATGTACATCCCACTCTTCAATTGACGTAGAATCAAATACATCGATAAACCTGAATGTAGCTTATTATTAAATGTTTGCAACCAAAGCCTAAGAGACATTATTAGCAGATTGACTCCTTTGAATGATTTTAGAAGTTGGTGGGAACATTTCCACGTTGTTTTCAGAACCTCATTATTCAAAATGAATCTTTGTCTCTTAAAAGTGGAAACGTTGTGTAGAACACCGTTAGGACAAGCTCGCTTCTGAACTGAGGATATACTTTTAAAGAATTTCTAGATAGACATTTTCACTTTCTACGATCTTTTCTCTGAAACGAAATCTCCCTTTATTAAGTTTAGCCCCTCTTCTAGTTATTTCGAATTTTGCTCTTGTTTAACCACGTTGTCATAATATTTATGCTCTACCTCTAGATACAGTGCTATATCACTTCATAGTCTACGGAGGTTCATGAATGGCAAGAGGAGACCCCCATCAAACACTCCAGATATCTATTACTCCAGTTACACGCGCCCTACTTTGCGGATGGTCGACGGGGAAATAGTGGTTGTACCCCCAGGACCACCAACAATTACAGACAGTGACTTAACGTCAACAATATTATTAGAAACTTATAGAAAAGATAAACGAAGTCAAGAATCCGATAATATCGAGGAGTCTCCTGAGCTGCCGTTTCACATGATACCACAAGGGCAAATAACTTCAACACTAACATCAGGTACGTTGGTGACGTAATATTTAGCCTAGCATTTGATGCTTAGCCCCCCTATCCCCCATAGCCTCCCCCTTTTCCTTCTTGCTTGTTCTAAAATATACTTACCATACATAAGATAATTCTTATTGCTCTTGAATGTACGCATATGAAACTTACGAAGAACTTCATAGACCCCCGTACCCCCTCCCTTCCCCAAACACCACAATCTATAATCATGAAGCCAAAATATCCTATTTTCTAAATTCAAATCATTCGCACAGTCTTAACAAAATCTAATGTTTCCAATGTCACAAAACGCTTTTACTAAAGTAGGAGAATAGAAATGTAAGGCCCAATGTCTCCATCTAACAATTATATTCCAAGAGTTTCGTTATAAAACTTCAAAAAAAGAAGGTTTTCGTAACTGTCTAGATTTTATAGGATAATAAGAACAATTAGGTAAATATTATTCTCTAAGCTATTGCTTCAATTGTGGGTATTTCGCCGGTAATTAAATGTAAGAAAAGTACATTCCGACTCATAGAAGTTACAATTCATTTAAAGCTTTTACTTTGTCCATCTAAAAATCATTAAACTCTAACGATGGGTTTTGAGGGTTATTTGAAAACTTGAACAACTACTAAAGCCAGTTACATTCTAATCCTGTGAGTAGTCAAAACCGTTGCAGGAATTTTGCAAATTTTTTCTTTATTAGTTTTAAAGGTGTGTCTGATTCAATTTTTATTTTTCGCCTTTGAAAACAATCCGTTTAGGGCCTAAAACCATACAACCAACAAGGAGCTATTGATTCTGCAGATCTCCTTACCAGTCTTAGACTATTTGGTTACTCTTGATCGTTTCCTGCTCAAATTGTGGGTGCCAGGTTCTCAAAATGTCCAAACATTTAATGGCCCGATAATACTTGCTTGTTTGTTAATGTTTCACCTAGCACCTAGGGTTAAAAACCACAATCACTGCCAAAATTACTTGGAACACCCAACACCTTGCTCAATGCCTTTCTATTTTCCATTTGTTTTCCCGGATTTCCTGCCCCATTTCCCCAGAAACAATGTTGATAGTTCAGAAAAGTATCATGCAAGCCCCAAGAAAAATGTACTCAAAAACCGTCTTTGCTATAGAAAGAGGTGTTCCTGAATTTGCCAATGAAACTAACATTAGTGGTCCCAAACTTTTTGGCAGTGTTTGCTTGCCTATTTGCTTATTAGGTTGAATAAGTGATTGTGAAACTGATATTGAACTATACTAGATTGCGTGCTGTACTTTATAATATATAATAACTATGAATGCAAGTAAACGTACCAGGAATAAATGATAAACTAATGAGTAACGGCGTTTCGAGCATGGCCCGTTGTTAAGTGAACGTGAACTGTTCACCAAGCCTTTGTTTTTGGTGATTCTACAACTGCGCTTCTTGTTAAAACAACATGTACTCTATACCCATTAAACAGTCACTTGCTTCTTCTTTCAACAACCACGTAGTTCTTCATGACTGACTAAGTAGTACATTTTCAGGCTCTTTTCCAAAGTTTAAATCATAACTTAAATACTGAGTTCCAAATGATAGAATTGCAGCGTCTAAAATTGTCCCTTTATATCCTAGGTGAAACTGATGAAAATACAATAGCTTCAACCAGGTCAGAAATGCTTTCAGAACCTGAAAATCAAGATTTCTGCTGATCAATGTTAAACTTGCAGATCAATACAACAAGAGAAGAGTATGCCACTGCTTCTTCTGCTTTGTACCAATCTGGTCTTCCAAAGAAGGAATTACGTCAGATATCCCATGATCCTCCCTCCGCTGACGGAACGACAAGTCTGGAAGAAGAGGCAAGACAAGACATAGAAACAGTTTGTTTTGTCGGTTGCTTGAAAACCTTACATCGGAAGCTAAGTGACAAAACTGTTCTTAAAATGTTCTATCATCGTCCCAGCACCCTTTTGGAGGGATTTTAGATTAGAAGGACTTTGCATCTTGCCAGAAGCTATGTAGAAGATCAGTGCTGGGACTATGCCTGCTACCCAGTTATGGCTGCTACCCAGTTCAATTTTGCTGAATGCCATAGAAATGTAGTTCGTTACAATGTTAGTTGACTCGTAGAGTAGTATTTAACGGTCCTAGTTTTGTGGGCCTTAGTTACAATAATTTTTGTAATTTGTTGTTTGTTCGCTCAATAATTAAATACGCAGTATAAACACCTACTACTATACTACAACGCGAGTTCTAATTAGCGCAATAAGATTGTGCTGATGTCATTCTCAGAAAAAATGGCTTTCAATCTCGATACTAATTTCAATCAAGAACCTGATGCAGAGACACCTACACGAATCTTTCTCTAGTTATAGCGTTTGTCCAATAACTCGAACTTTATAGCAAAAGCGTAAAAATTTCGAGTTATCGAAAGCTTGGTTTTTTATTACAACAAAAGTGCGTCCTAAGCAAGAATATTTATGAAGAGAGAGAGAGTGTTTTTAGCAGATAGCCGAATAAAGACAAAATATCAATAGAGAGTAGAATTGTCGTTTTTTCACATTGGCATCAAATTAATCAAGTATGAATTTTTATAGCTAAAAAATTGAGCTGTTTTCTGTTGTTGTACCTCTAGTTTAATCATCTCAAAATATAAAAAATCGTGTTAAAGGCTGTTACATTCGCTGAATGGAGCAACTTGACATTTATTTATTAAGCCTTTATTAAAACATAGAATAATAGATGGCTTTTTGCTAATGCATCTAGTTTTTTATGATTTTAAAGCAATTTAAAGGACATGTGATCATGTATTTTGCGTAGAGGCACAAGTCAATGTGGAACCATTGATATGACAGCAATCGATAGAATTAAAGTAAAAATATCCTATAGGCAACAGTAAATAAAGATTTGTGTTGTCCAAGTACTTTATCTAAAGTAGACTTCTAGTCCTTGCTGAGAGCGCTGTAATTTGGCAATGTAAGTTTGCATTATAGTTCAGTTTTCTAGAATGAGTACAGTGTGTGTCATGAACGTCCCTAATGTGCTCGTGGCACCATTTGCTCGTGATAAGAAGGGGTTTTACAGGGTCCAATTTGCATCTGTTGCTGCTTGGGCAGAAAAGGCTCTTGGCACCACAGAGTGATATGATGCAATCAAATTGTCTGCTTTAGAGATGCACCTTTAAATCGTTGAATTGGATGATTCTTTCCTTCAAGTACAGGACAACTGTAAAATGTTGTTTACAACCTTTCTGCCAGCATTGTTATTTTCTTTTCTGTGATCCATGAAGACGAAAATGCGATTCAGCATGATTAATAATTATGTCAAAGAGACAGGCCATAAAAGATCAAAGATGGCAGCCGGGAAGATGGTAGACAGCAAGATGGTACCTATCCTTGTCAATATCATATCTCGTTCTGAATTTTTTAAGTTCATCCAAAGAAAAAGAAACGATTTTACCTTTTCATATAACACCCTAAAAATTTGGTAACCTTGGGATACTTACTTGAAAAAGTGAACACGTTGCGTGTAGTATCCTTGATATTTGTAGAGCTGTAAATAGGTTATAGATATATTTGTTGCTATTTGGTTAAATATCTTCTGTGTGTCGTGCATTTTCAAACGTAATGCATTCATAATCTGTTTTGTTGCTTCTCTCTTCTGCAGTCAAGTCTCGTATGAATCCAATGATCGCGAAGTGTCCCTCTGAACACAGCTATGGAGATACCCCTATCAAACAATGATTTAATACTGTTCTTCAATTAAACAATTTCTTCTTAGAATGAACTACCGCAAGAAGTGTATCTTGCAATGCTACCGTATTTTTGAACAAAAATACTGTAGAAAAAAAATGGGCTCAATGTGATCTTTTATTTCAAAAGTTACTTAACTCGTATAATGTGCCTTTGAAACTTTACTTTTTGGTTTTTATCAGTCAGTCTCGCACTTTCATATGATATAAACTGATCCTTGATTGAATTTGAAGCAATGTGTAAGCAATAAAGTTTAATTGGAGCTAGCGGAGAAACTGCCTCCCCCCTTATTTGAACTAACAGGCTCTTGATTATAAGCAGGGTTTCGGCCTCGACCAGCGACGAAAATTATGGGGGATTTGGGTTCAACACTCCCCCCCCCCCAGAACGTTTTTCACAGGGAAGATTTCTCCGGCAATCAGATTTTCAGCCATCAGTAATAAAGAAAAAAGCCCCTGACACAAAAATGTTGATAATTCACTGCCCCTGCAAACTGCAATCAAAACGTTCTACTTCCGGGAATGGTCTTGCTGCTGTAAAGAGTCATTGCTAGTTCTTTTGAAGTGCAAATTCTTATTCTAACCATTTTCCATTTTCTTCGGCAATGTAATGACTTAATAAGCTGCTTGTTCAAGTTTTCCATCATCCAGTATCATGACCATCATGACATCCTTGTTTGTTTTACCTAAGGTGATTTCAACGAAGAAGGAAGCATCCAGATCGTCTTTTCTTTCAATTTCGGTAAGCTCGTCAATTTCAGATCCATCAGGTTGTATCACGGAATCAAATAAGTTCCTTACTGCATAACCGTTATCCACAAGAAGGAAAGAGGATTTGCTAAAGGAGGCCAGCATAATAGAGAGGCCAGCTGAACATTTTCACTTCAAAGTCTTTCCTGCTAGAGCGTTACATAAGTGATTTTCTAGTGCTTAAGGAAGAAGCTTAATGAAGATGCAACATTTGACCTGATGCGGCGTTTATAGAGGGAGGGTGGCGGTCCCATTAAAGAAGGGATGGCAGTCCCATAGGTAGATGGGGAACGGCCCCAAAAAGGTTGGGCAATGGAATAATTATAGTCAACTCTATGTTGCGACTTCTACTGCGAAGGAACCCTAAACTCATTTCTTGCACCTTTCATCTTTTCAAGTACATGATATTCTTTCAGTGTTCGCTAAAATTTTTATCGATAGAAATGCTAAGAAATGAGTGCTAACTAAATTTATGTATAGTAACCGTTGGGTGGGAAACAGCCTTTATGACGCTTAGATTCATCCTCCAGTAGCCCAATGTACAATTTTGGTTACTATGTTTAAAAATCTCCAATTAGAGCATTTTCATGTTGCTGTCCTGTAATTAACTGGTACTTTGGAGGTATCTGTATAATGTTGTACTCTGTGTCGACATACTGTTTGAATTCTTACCTTGTGGTGTTTATAGGCGGGCGTAGAGATGACTGAAGTGGTTTTGTAAATTTTCAGGCTGACAAAATAATGCCACACAGATATCCACCACTCCTGTTACGTATGAGGATACCGAAATGCGCCACTGCCGTGCGGGTTACGAGTTACGAATTCATTGTTTCGAAATAGAGATAGCACTTTTTCAATTATGCACAAGCTTATTCCAACAGTTCAAACGCATTATTCACTCATAACCAACAGTACTTTCAAACTTGGCCTCTTCTATTTGGAAGTGCTTTTATGCATTACAGTATTACAATATTACAGTCAAAAATACTTGTACTTCAATATTTGAGGGCTTATAGTACAAAACTTTTTTTACGCAAATGTTTTGTCATTGGTCTTTAATTTTCGCTCATTAATAAATAAGTAGGGTTTATGCTTTGGGATTTAAAACAGTACGGTTTTAAGCTGATGCTTTCAGTTCCCATTATATGCAACAATTTCATGCATCTTTGGTTTGTTTTCTTAAATTTTTCAACAATCTCTTTTATTAGCTTACTTTCTTAGGTTTGCTCATCGATAGACAGGCTACGAAGTTTTGTTTACTTTTACCATGTACCTACCTGATATTCTCTCTTATGTAGGAATAGTATCTGTCATAAATGAAAGAAAAATATTAAAGATATCATGGGAAATATGTGGCAAAATGTGTTGGAGAAATAGCTCTACGTTCTGCCTTTGAATACATGAATTCTCGTTTAGCTTTAACTATGCGCCTATTACCAGTGTGACTAGCATGTAAACTTTTTCAAATTAATTGCAACTTAGGACCTTTGCAGCCTTGTCCACGTCCATTAAGCATGAAACTTACCTTCTCTGCAAAGGATTGAGTTGAACAAACCTTTTAGCGAGTTTTTGATCTATTTTTTAAAAAGAACCGAATCTATTGGGAACATAAAAATGTTAGAAGGCCCCAATCAACATCAATTGTTGAACTTTTACAAAGCATTCTGTTGCGTGTAACTCAGCTCTATTATTTCATCTGCCTTATTTGAATTTTCTATCACATTTTAGGATGATTCGGTCAGAGTTCGACTAAGCAGTAGCTGGAATCCTCCGTGAAAGCAAGCGAAACAATCATAAATTGGATTACCTATCACAGCGCAGCTTTGAAACTGCATCCGCCATTAAAACACAGCCTCGCATGAGGGATGAAATTGAAATCAAATCTCCCAGCTGTGAAGTGTGAAGGGAAAAGACAAAGGAAGATTAGTAAATTGTTAAGCGAATAGCTAAGTTGTTAAGTCATCTTTTTAAGCAAGTATCCCATGCTCTATCCTGGTTTGACGGCTTAATCAGACAGTGCAGGAAATTCTGGCTGTTGCTTTTGTTCGTGCCTGGAACAAACTCTCTTATCTCCTTGTTTAACGTGGACACAGCGTACAAACAGTGCTTTCTGATGAGCTATAAACAAGCATTTGTTTATCCATTTGTGTACAGTACACGAGCGGTAAAGTTGCTTTCATACGAGATTCCAAGACGTTGATGATCAGTTGCCAATGAGACTAATTCCACTGACACCAACAGGTAAGAATACTGTAAAAATTCATTTTTTATTATTGATCTCTCAGTATAAACATATTGTCATGCAATATCAGGGTCGACTTTTGTGGCGTCTCTATCAATCGATGTAACATCCATTACACCGTGGATTGAGACTTCAAACACTGAAGTCACGCTTGTAACAATAGCATGTTTTCAGCATATCCGTAGTATTAATAATCTTCCTAGATGTGCTTTATTAACCATCAATCAAAATCAGTTCCATTTGTGTTCAAATACATCAATCTTCAACTCTTTCTTACTGTGCGTGGAACATTTAAAAAGATATTTGCAATCAAGTCAGCTGCTTTGGAATTCTTACTCAAAATTGACTTATCTATAAAATTCTCTCTTTAACTCGTGCGTGTTTTCCTGAAATTTTGTATTCAAAACCACCATGAACCGCGGCTAATATGATTCCAATCTTTTCAAAGCTGCTTGTATTTTACTTGCATTGCAATAAAACGGGTTCTTGACGTATGTTGTTTGAAGCCTTGTGCCTTTCGATGTGTCCCAACAAGCCTGGGCGTTTTGTGAATATCAGAAACAGGAGAAAGGGGAAGCTAAATACTTTGGCACATACTTGCCATTGAAGATCTAAGTGTTCTTTTCTAAGTCAATATGGTCAATATCATGGACCTGTCCCTCACAAGATCCCCATTCCAGGATCTTGTAAGCTGCTTCTGGAGTGAGCTGATTCTTATTTTATCTGTAATGTTTGGTATGTTACACAAAAAAGTTTTAACTTGAACTTTAAAGGAATGACTAGAACTAGCAAACCAGAATTGATGTGTTGTGAATCGTTTGTTTTTTGGCGTGAGTCATGAGAATGTATTACAATCACGGAAAATGACACGCAGAGACAGAACCTCCTCTTGAACAAGCAATCCAACTTCACATAAGAAGGTTATACGAGCTAGTTGACCTACAATCCCGGAAACAATTGTCGAGACAAAATGCAATTTTTGAAATTTTCTACTTTACGTTTCCCCTGTAAATTCGAAGCACCCCTTTCCCCTGAACCAACGTTGGATTTGTAGTTCTATTATTTCTCCTTCAAAATCATGCATTGGGGAAGGGGGAGGAATTCGTTTTCAAAGGAAAGAGAAAATATCAACTTTTTTGAAAATTCTCAACTATTTTTTTCCGGGATTGTAGGTATTGATTGTAAGTGTAGGAGAGCAGTTTTCAAAGCAGTAGAAAAAGGAATAGATTTTGCCGTCACAAAAATTATAAAATTTGCCAGTTATTACTTCATCTCAGTAACCGTGGCATAGTGACACAGTACTCGTCTTCACGTATGTTGGACTTTCCAATGTCCACAATATGCTTGGAGTCCAAACTCCAAAGACTACAAAGGTGTCTATATATAAGGCGTTTTGGATGTTCATTATTCTTTTTGAATCAAAGGAGATATGACTGAACGAATCTCAAGTGATGGGAAGCTTTATACAATGACGTAACCTTTAAGCTGGCAGTTAGATGCTAAAGTTTTTTCGCGTTTTTGCGACTTTAAAACATACTATCAATTGAAGTCTACCTTTCCTACCTCTACCTCTAACGAGTTGTTAAGGAAAAGTTGTTTCAATAAACCGCTTTATGTTATAGAATTTTTTGTTATAGAGAATTGAAAACGACTTTGAAAAAAGCAAACATTTTGAAAGCTTTAGCCAATCGGTTAGCAAGAAAGCTACGGCCTAATGTGAACCCGTAGTTAATACAATCTCATTGCAGTAATGGTTCCTAAGGGGGTGAATTAGAGAACAATATCATAACTGCAAAGCAAGGGGCGTGGCTTAATGGATATATGTTATTAGGCTACATTATTTTTTAAATATTTTTCATAGTACTTTAACTATTTTCTTTGAATAGTGTCCTGAA